TTTTTTTTTTTTTTTTTTTTTTTTTTTTTTTTGCAAAGCCATTTGGGAAAAAATTGAATGCATGTTATGCAATTACAACTCCTCCAGTTTCATATACAAAAAAAAGTGCGCCAGCTTATGTGGTTGCAATTCTACCAGGATTTAAAAATGTTACATTTAAGCTCCGATGGGCCTAAACGGGTTCCAGAAAGCTGTGACGGCACAAACCTGTCGACATTCAGCTGAGTGATGTGAAGTTTGCAGTAGCTACAGTTAAAGTTTTAACATTGGAGTCTATGGGACTGCCTCAAGTGGTCATTAGAGGAACTGCAGGTTTTTCAGCCCTGGACGAGTGCTGCTCGTCTCAAACACATTTGTATGCATGTCAGTGTTCTAATGAGCTGAATCAAGGTGTAGTTCAGGACTGAAGGGTGGGTGCTGGTTTGGAGTTTAGGGGGTGGGGTTGTCACACACATGTAAAGAGAATCCTGATAGGATCAGACAGGCCGTGCTGATCTGTGACCCTGAAAAATGTGGCAGGGCCTTTGGACTTGAACCAACAATGAGCTCATTTCTTTCAGGAGGCAGTAATGTCGCACCATTCTTCCACTTGTTGTTTTTGCGGGCCGCCCTGCCTTCACTAACAGCTCCCTGCTGATGCTGATTCATGGCTCCTTCTCCCTTACATAACACACGTTGTTGCAGATGAGCACGCGGCGACTCTGTGCTCCTTTCTGGCCTCTTTTGCGATGTCATCACACGTTTCCTCTTGAGTTTTTATCCTGTTCTTGTGACTTTACTCCTGCCATCAACATTCAGCACACAGTTACATTAAAGTCACAGCTGATGCTGCTCCTTGGAGCACCAGGAGCCTTTGTCCTACTGAATGCTGCCGTCTTCAAATCAGAGGAGTGAAAAACTGTCTTTGATTTAGAAAACTGGATCTCAAATCGCTCCTCGCCTCTGTGGCGCTCTGTCGTTTCAGACGGTAACAAAGTGAACGTTCAGAGAGCTCAAAATGTCTAAACCTGCCTGACCTTTTCTTTTGTTCTCCTTGTCAGAGAGCAGTCAGCAGCTCCAGCTGTCGTCTGTCCGGGCGAAGCACGTGGAGAAGTCACCTGACCTCACAGCAGCGGATACGCCTGCGAACACGCCGTCGCAGCAGCAGATCAGTGCGGCCGAGCAGAAGAGCCGCATGGACCTCCAGATGTCTACAGCGCTGCATGGTGCGACTGCAACAACACAGCTCATTATTGTTGTTATTATTCCAATATTAAATATTTTAAGAGCGCTGCAGTTTACAAGCTGCATATAAAAGATGGACCTGACCACTGTCTGTAGTTGGAATCAACATCTCGAAGTTTGTTTGTTTTGTGGGCAGTTTTGAGCTAATGCTAACAAGTCTGGCTAGTCCAGAGACTGAGGCGTCCCACAGACGCCTGCTCGTTATTCCTAATGAACTTCCTGATAAAATACTACAGCTTCATCCTAATTGGACAGCCAAAAGTGCTCCAGGCCACGCCTCTGACAGTGTAAATGTACCCCTGTCCTGACTGTGGAGGCTGCAGTGTGGTTCTGAGATGGAGGTCTGGAGGCTGAAGGTGGTTTTGAGTCTCATAGACTCCCAGATCTGTGTTGCTTCTGCTTTTAGCTCAATCAGTTTTATTTTGGTGCTGCAGCCACACCCACCTGACTGCTACGTCTCATGGTCAAGTGCTGAACCTTCAAAGGTTTTACAGCAGACGGGCTGATGTCTGATGCTCTGTGACCCAGGAACATGAATCAGATTGTCAGCTCGTGCTTTTTGGACTCTGCTGCTCAGTTTGAGAGTCAAACACATCTTATTTGCCTTCCTCGGCCCCCGAGTCCATTTATCAGGGTTATAAACACTGCGAGCTGAAGTCACCGGTTCAGCTTCAGTTCCTGTTCCTGTGCAGAAGCAGAGCCAGAACAGTGAGAGCGAGGCTCTGGAGTGTGAAGCAGATGTTTTCCTAAGTTATCTGACCAGATGTTTGGGCTGTGGTCTGCTGGCTGTAGAGACGGCCCCTCAGCAGAACATTCAAACGCTTCTTTCACAACCCGGCTGCTGTAAGGTGCGCGTTACCTCACCTGAGCTGACTGTGAAACGCCACCACGAGCGCCGTCATCGGCCCGGCGAGCGGCTCGCGCCACTCTCACTCCCAGCTGTCAAAACACGGGAAACGTGCTGAACGACTGTTGCTAATGAGCAGCGCACACGCCTGTGTGTACACATGCAGCTCCCTGCATGCTGATGCATGAACTCTGTTTCTCCCCGCAGCGTTAAGGAGGCCCCTCGGTGGAGGCAAGTCCTGGCAGATGTGCTGAGGGTTTCTGGCTCGCTCTGCTGGTATTTCGGTTTTCGAGGCCTCTACTTAAAATGACTGAGATACTTCTGGCTTTGAGTCGGCTTCCAGCGCCTCGAGGACAGATGAGACGGACACTTAATGGCTGCTTTCGTCTCTACCAAAGCTCTCGATCATGTCAGAACTTTTAGTGGAGCGTTCAGGCGTTATCGGCTCTTTGTAACCAGCTCAATGGGCTATTTAGTTACATGGTGTGTTAATTATGCAGGAGGAGAGTTGGAGGGATGATTTTATGAGGACGATCGTGATGAAACATGGGAAAGAGACGGAAACGACGAAGGAAAAACACTTTGCACTCCGAACACTCTCCCCTTACACACTATAAATAACGGAAATGCTCTTATTTTAATGATGCATAAACTCCAGATAAGTGTGTCTGTCACAGCTTTGTAATACTGTCTCAGCCACACATGGCTGTAAACTAAATGATTCCAACAGGGGGCGCTGTGCTCATGAACAGAGGTGAAATATAGAAGCTGGAGCTTACAGATGTCAGAGATCTGATGTAACCTTATTGTTTATTCATTTAGTGACGAGGGTCTGTTTGAGATGAAGTCCTGACGAGGAACGTATCTTTGTTCATAGCTGACGTCTGAATATCTGCAGTGTTCAAAAATATGTGAACGCGCAATCATCACATGACGGCAGTTAAACATGATTCTGTCGCTCAGGAAACGGAAGCATTCTGCAAATCAAAGTGACAACAGGAGGAAACGACGCAGGCGGTGCCGCCGCTGCGTCCTCGCCGCTGCGTCCTCGCCGCTGCGTCCTCGCCGCTGCGTCCTCGCCGCTCGTTGAACTTTGTGTCACACTGTGATGATGAAGGGTTCCCTTATTTATGTGTCGATGAACTATTCATGTTTGGAAGTGTTTGGATATAACAGCCCGCCTACATGGTGCTTTTTATTAACGATAAACACGCAGCCCTGTTTTAAAGCAGCCTGTTCGATTTATCAGATGAGTTTAAGTTGATTCTGGATCATGTGTCATGTTGTCGGCTCTGGTTTACGATGTTCTGCGTCTCCTGCAGGGCAGAGCACCCTGAAATCCATCATGAAGAAGAAAGACGGCCGAGCCGACTCCAACGGCACGAAGAAGAACCTGCAGTTCGTCGGGGTGAACGGAGGGTGAGAAATGTTTTGAATCAGAAGTTTGCAGCGTGAGAGTTTTTCAGTGTTTGTGTCCCGGCTGAGGTCAAAGGTGGCAGGGCTGACGTTTGCTCAGCTGCGTCGACGCCGAGCCTCACGAGCTCGTTAGTGTTGTTCGCAAATATGAAACCCGAGCTGCTGATCTGCACTCACATCTTTGTTTCTGCACCTCTGTCGCCCCCTCGTGGCGCAGATACGAGACTACGTCGAGTGACGACTCCAGCTCGGAGGACAGCAGCTCCTCTGGGTCAGACGAAGAGGACGAGGACGAGGAGGAGGAGGAGGGGTACGGAGGAAAGGAGGAACACCAGAAAGTGGAGGGGCAGAGCACGAGGGAGGAGTTCCAGCCCGAGGGAGCAGAGGACGTGGACAAGAAGGATGACGAGGAAAGTTCAGAGAAGCAGGAGACGAGAGAGAGGCGAGTATAGAAGATGAAATCATGATGATATTTTTCTGTCTGTAAATTTGAT